CGCAGCTCAGTGAATGCAACAGCTTCCCTAGTAGGCGCTAGGCCATAGTTAAATGCCTGAATGCCTGCATAAGCGTGTGCATTTAAGTTGCAATGTACGTTGTGGGGGAAGAGATGAGTGCAAGTACGAGTGGTTGAATACATTGCAAATGTACTCGCAAGGTATTCGTGTGAGTGCATTGAATTTTCCGTTGCATGCACTGAGGCGTAAGCATCTAAAAATGCGGCAGGTGTATGCGTTAAATAAAAAAGTATATCTGAAAGGGGCGAGAAGTGTATAAACGAAATGAATGCAGTACGTACGAAACGGAAGTCAATTGCCGATTGTCAAACAAACTCAATTGGAATGCCAAGTGCCATCGGAGAGTATTTTTTATTTACTTCACGTTAAAGTATGCGCAGTAACAGTACCATTGATATAGTGAAATGGAAATTATCATAATCGAGTTCATTTTGAATGGTAATCGAAGGAATACGAATGCAATAAAGTACTCTTTTTATTATTAACAAATGAGTGAATAGGAAAAGGCGGTGATGCCATCTGATATCTGCAGAAAAGATAACAACTACTTGGCATTGTTGAATAAGGGTCATGTGTTGCGCTGGTTTATTATTACTTACTCTGGAAAACGTCCAATCTTGCCGAATTTGTATCTTAATTTGAAGTGCCCGGTCAGATAACCAATAAAAGTCCTCAGCCACTCCGTCAAAAAGAAGAGTTTTAAAACTTTTGGGTTGCCCTTTTTTACTTTTTTTATTCGCCATTTCGAGTTCATCCACCAGTTTCGAGTTCATCCGCCATCTTAGAAGCTCTGTTTCCGTTGGTTCCGCGCTTTACCGAAGGATCAGCCTTTTGGTTGCTATCAAAGCCTATCATAAACCGGTACCCATCATAGAGAAAAAGCGATGGTATTTTTCGACGAGTCATAAAAATAACAAAAAATTTCACAAAATTCCCTGTTAATGCAATCTGGCCAATCCATCAACTAAACAATTTTTTTTGTATTCTATGGATATTTTTGTGAGTACAACGGAGTTAAATTTCTGTACGCGCTCTAGGACTATCGGTGCTACTAAAAATTAAAGAGGTTTCAGTGCCGCCGACTGTGATATAGAAGAAGTCGCTAAGCAAGTTTATCTCCGCACACAGACTACTACTGTAGATGCCTTTCTGAAATACGCCTTAATGCTTTCCACGTGGCACGTGGTTTCTTAAATACTAAAGCCCAGCCTAAGAGTATTTTTTATGAAAAATCACTACTGGAGTGTAAAAACCTACGATGAGGATGAGGGTATCGATAAAAGTAAAGATGAAGATAGAGAAAGATCAAAATAAAGGTAATTATAGAGAAAAGGATATAGATAGAGACAAAGAGACTCAATCTGGGAGCTATTTTGGAATTTTAGAGATATTTCTATCGATTTTCTAATCGATTTTTGTTATCGATTTTGTTATCGATTATTTATCGAATTTGTTATCGATATTTTTTGTCCATTTTCTAATCGGTTTTGCTACCAATATTATTATTATCGATTTTGCCGTCGAAACTTTTATCGAATTTGTCATCGATTTTGTTATCGATTTTTTATCGATTATTTATCGATATTTTTCTCTATTTTGTTATCGATATTTGTATCGATTTTTTATCGATATTTCGATTTTTCTTCGAATATATTTATCCATTTTGCTATCAATATTTTTTATCGAATTTGTCATCGATTTTGTAATCGATATTTTGATCGGTTTTGTATCGATATTTTGTTAGATGTTACTATCCATTTTGTTATCGATAAGGTAAAAATGAAGATCAAGGAAAACAGAATAACATAAATTGTAATTGTAACTTGATTGGATGTATGCGATGGCCTGGCTAATGCCTTAAGTGCAGCTCCACCTATTTTCTGCATATTTTCTAACACGTTGTCCATGGCTTTAAGGATTGCAAATATCTCAGCCCAGAAGGCCGAAATATGTATATTCCCCAAGATAAAAGTGAAGGTTATCGCCATTATCTTCGATAGAGACCACAGATCCTGACCCAGAGTCAGTTTTGAGACACGAGTAAAGATTCGACCAAGCTAAGTGTTGGAAATAAACCAGCATTCGGTCTCAGGGAACTCAAAATTGTAGAATCTCTTTAACAAAGTCGAAAAGACACAAGTGCTCAGATCTCTGTTGTAAGCAATATCATTTATTTTTTGTCCACGAATGAAGACACAAAGTGACGGCAGCAAGCAAGGCTAGTTGTTGAAGGAAACAAGCCCCGGCGATTGTTCTTTCAAAAAAGATCGGCCGCTCGTTAACCAATCTACCTTTGCACCTTATCGCCTGCGAGTCTTACGTCAACTCAAAGCTCTCGTAAAATATTTACAAATTTCCCATTTAGCGCGAAATTTGATCGTTCACTTTATCATTACGAATGCAGCTGACCATAACTGCGAAATTTTTTACGATTCACGCGATAAAAAGTAATATAAAGAAATAAACTAATAAAAGAACAGCGTAAGAGCTATGGAAAACCACTGACACACACCACGTGTGACACGCATCTTGCGCACTGCGGATTCAGCCATTTGCTGGCGTATCAAAAGAGTTTAATGTATACGAGGGGCATAAAAAGTGACAGCAAAAGCTGAAAGCGGTCGTAAAAGCAAACTCAGTGTGACGCTTTTGATGACTTAGTACAGGGCAAAGGGGTTACAGTTCAGGAAGTACATATGCGTGTATGTGTGTACGTGGGAGCGATAGCCAGTTTACATTTGTGAAATCCTTGACGAGATAAATGTATGGAACAAGTCACTACTTACTAGTCCCACATTCAAGACATAACAATTTGCTGCTGAAGCTTTTAGTTTTCTTAATGCTAAAACTGTTGCATATCTTCAGGCTGCATTCATTATTGCTTTATTTGAGCACTTAATTAATATTTGTCGTAAAACTCATACAAACTTCACAGCTTAAATTTTGTCAACAAAACATTTTGCCACATCATGACAATACTCGCTATGTAGCTCACTTGCTCACTAGCTTGTCTGATTGCTGGCACACATGCAAAGAAGGCTTGGTAGTGCATTGCTGTTGCTGCCAAAAAGTATGCAAACATTTTGTTGAAATGCTTGCAGAATTTTGTGAAATTACGTGTTGGCAGAATTGGTACACTGCAAGATACAGCGACAGACAGTCCGGACGACAGATTGGCAGCCAGACAGTCAGACAGTGCAGACAAGTTGGCGGGCAAAAACAAAAACAGCATGTAAAATACTAAGTTTGCGGCGGAGTTGAGTGAAGCACAGTGCAGCTGGCGGATAGACGTGTAAACAAACAAACAGACATACCGGCAGTTAAATAGTTCGGTGACGCAAAAGAAAGTTGGAAGAAAGCACAACAGCTACTGACGCACTGCACTGTACATAAAATTGAAGCGAAGTTTATTCGATCACTTGGTTGCATGTATGTAGTTTTCGTTTCGTTTGTTTGCCGACTTCTGGGCGTATTTAGAGCGGGTAGGTAGGTAGGTGTGGTGTAGCACGGCGTCTTTCTCTGATGAGTATTCGAAGCTGAGGAAGTTGCAAATTGAAGTTTTTTGGCAATTGCATTACACTGTGCTTGCCCAAAAACTTGTCTTTGTTTACACATTTATCGCTCGGCAACTCAGCGTGTTGAGCGCCTGTTGGTATGCTACGGGCTTGCTGGCACCTGCATATACTTTTGGGCTGTCGCTTCTTATTCAAGTTGTCATAGTAGTACCTACATAGCCATTTGGCTGCTGTGGTTGGTTATTCATATTTAACTGTGGTCACATTTTTGCACGTGTGAAAATCTAATTTGCATCGATGCATAAGGAAACTGTCTGAAATATGACTGAGATAGAAATTCTCAATTTATTTGCATGTGTGCGTGTGCTGGTGTTTTTGAAAGTATATTTGTTTTAGCCCCTTTTACTGTAGTGGTGGTTTTACGGCTGTTTAATATTGAGTGCTTTGTTGTGGTTGCACCTAAGTATGCAAATTTTGAAATTTTCCTAACTTCTGACGCCGAAAAGTATGCAGAGTTAGTTAAAAAATTATGGATACATGAAGAATTCACGCCTTACCGTTATATGTTTGTCTTTTAGCAATAAGTTTCCTATGTAAAAGTTAAATGATATAAAAGATATATATTTTACAATAAATTCTAAAAATTAATTCAAAAAAGTAAAAATTAAAAAACACCTTTCTTAAAATAAGTTATATTAAAAACTATGTTTCTTTGTAAAACCACAAACAATTTAATTAAAACATAAATGAAATGAAATAAAACTAAAAATTTCCTTCTTTTTAAAACAATAAAATCTAAAGATTATAAGAAAATTAAATAAAAAAAATATTAAAAAATAGGAAAATATATAACTTTCTAAAAATTAAAAACTAAACTTTTTAAACTAATCAAATGTGAAAACTATATTAAAGAAAAAAGATGAAACTTAACAATAAAATGTAAAAACAAAAAGAAAATTAAAAAGAAATGGAAAAAATCGATTTTTTCCCTTTTTAAAACAATAAAATTTCAAAATTATAAGAAAATTAAATAAAAAGAGACAAAAATAAAAAAATATATATAATTTTATAAAAATTAAAAATTTAACTTTTTAAAACAATTAGCATGATGTTGACATTTTATGGACTACCCTAGTGTACAGTTTGCATATAGTTAGATATTAAATATTTTTAAGGCTTATTTTTTAACTTAAAAATACGACCTCTATTTATGACTAAAATATGTTTGCGTCTTTTGTTTGTTTACATGAATGTGCGTCTGAAGAAATATATACTCACCACTCACTCACTCTTTAATGCATCTTTATTAAAATAATAATATCTCAATGTCAACTGCATAAACACCTTGTGGCAACATTCACATCACTTATCATCACTACTACGATAATATTTCCATTAACATTTCTTATAAAAATAAAGTCAAGAAATTTTAACTAACCCATCGTCCCTTCTTCTTCTCGCCAGCCCCCGATGCAAACGCTAAGCGCATATTGGAAGAAGCCAGCACTGCCGTACATCGACGTTATAATTTCTTCGAGACAACCATACAAATTGAGGAATTCACACCACAAATGGAGAATTGCCAGCAGTGTAGTGTACCGAGCTTGTAGAGTGAATAGGCCCATTGCAAGTTCAATCGTAGGGAGGGATATATGCAACCACAAATATTTGAATACATAAACTGCTATATTCTCTGGGAAGCGATATAAATCTTTTGCTGCTGAAGATTTTTTTGCCATTCAAATTCATAGATGTTTACGTGTTATTATAATTATGTAAAGAAAAAAGTTTATATTCTCTAATTATGACTTAAGCTTTTTTTGTCATTTGGGAAAATATTTTTCGTATATTTACACAAGTCCTTGTATAGATGTAACTAATTAAAATAGTTATGATTTGCTTGTTTCACTTTTGTTATTCCAGTTTTTTGCGTTTACGTGTAACTTGGTGTAAAATCTTGAGACAGATGCAATTTTTTTTTTTTGGAAATGTATTAATGCTACAATTACATATATGCTTAATTTAATAGACATATTAAGTAAATGCGAATGTTGAATTTATGCCAAGTAAATTTTTGTTATGATTTTCTTTTTCAATTGTTGGACATTAAAAATTGTAATTATTAAAATATGAAAAATATGTGTGCTTGATAATAAGGTATTCTTTTGCAGTAGGCAGTTAACTGATAATAGTAAGTAGTTAAATTAAAATTTATCTACTGAAAGTTCGCTTTCGTAATTTCGTGGAAATTCTTGGGTTTGACAGACTGCAATGAGACTGCATACCAAAAATTTTTCTACAAAATCTGGTTAGATAGTTGCAAATTGGTAGGCAAATTTTTTGAATTTTCCTGAGTTTTGCACAAAATTTAGAAATTTTATGTTTTTTGTTGTAGAATGAACTATATTTTTTTTTTCATCATCGATCATCTTCGTTTTGTTCTTCACTGTATATACATATGTATGTATTCACATAATTTTTGTTATTTAAACTATTGGCAACCTTTTACAAACGTTTAAATACCTTAAGTTTGATGAGCACTTTTTGATATTTTAAGCAAGTTATAAATTTAGTTTGTTCAAAAATTGTAGGTAGATGGCAACGATGTTAAAAAATATTTTTAAAAGAATGTTAGTTTTTTGGTTTATAGTGAAATTTAAAATGACTTGTACCGACGTTGAACGCACAAACCTGGGCCGAAAACATGCAAAATCATACGGGATGCGCTACGATAAATTCGACAGATAAGAATTCGAAAGGACAAGAGATGTATTTTAAAATGCTGTGCATATTTGTCAGATATGAGGTCAGCGACAAAATCTATTAGAAATGGCCAACTTCATATCAAAAAAAAAAAAAAAAATGTCAATTAGCACGAAATTGTTCCGGAAGTAGAATCACAATACCAAGAGTGTAATTTAAATTCTTAACCAAATTCGGACAACTATTCACGGTCTCTCATTTCGCTGCCTGCTTATTCTTATTTCCGTTCTAACTACAGCTTTGTTTTGGATAATTAACACTTTCGGCGTTTAATTTCAGGTAAGGAGCATAGAAATGATCAACACTTTTAACACCTACCAATTGCCACTTACTTAACCCACCCACGTCAGCATCCTCGCTGCATGCTTCGATACTTTTCTTTTGTGCAAATGGCTAGTGCTTTTTGTTATTTGCTTTTGTCTTTTGTTGTATTTTAATCTCTTTTCTTTGTCTAACGCAACCCTTTTAACTATTTTGATTATTTTTAAAATTAGCATTTTTTATTTCCATTTTATTGCAATTTTCTTGCCAGCGCGCTTATCACTCCACCAATCGCTTTATTGGTCCTTTTTCTGCGTTTGTAATTCATTTTAGTGATATTTTCTACGCTTTCCACCTTTTTGTAAACCCTTTTAGCATTTTTAGTAACCTGCTCGCTGTTTTTTTTTAGCACTTTTTTTAATTTCATTTCTTGGTATATTTTTTCTGCTTTCCTACTTTTTTTTTACTTACCACTTTCCATACTCCGCTCTCGCTGTAAGCGGTTGCCGTTCTTCGCAGTACTACCATTTAATTTAAAGACATTGCCTCCTGTTCTTCGTGCATTGTCTATCTATCTTTCGTAATTTCTGATTTATTATGGCCGTTCGTAACGTTGACATCTCATTCCAGTGTGTCCGCTTGCGTTGCGAGAAGCGCGCAAATGTGAAAAAGTGTTGAATTTAATGTGAAGTTGATGGCGGAGGTGGCAGCAATAAAATTTCGCACAAAAAGGTTTATCGAGAAATTAAGCAATCGTGAGCTGTGAAAAATAAGAGTGTAGCAAAAACGGCAATAAATGAGGAAAGTGAAAGGAAATTAGCACTTGCACGTAGCGGACGCAACGAATTCAATAACAACGGTAAGTTAACCGGTGATTAAATATTTAATTTTGGTTTTTATTTATTTTCTTAAACTGCGTTCAATGTGAAGCTCAAATACTTTACTTTCTCTGGACTAAGGAACTTGTAAATATTTATCTTATGATTAACATCATTTCATATAATTTTTTACAAAGGCATTTTAATTTCTAGACTTTTGGAAATATATTTCAAATTGTGCTTACACACATTTTATTCCGTATCCGTAATGTTGTATCTCAGTTCATTTAACTATACTTTTATATATTAAATTCTCTCAGGGACCGGACATAACAGTTAGTGATGAAAATTTTCACTGAAAAATTCACTATGAAGGAAATGTTATATAACTAAGTGATACATACCAATCGATTTCTTTTTTTCAACGAAAATCAAATTATTAAGGGGCCAAAAAGGTGGACTACGTCTATATTTTTTCCTTGTTAGTTATTTACATACAATACTAAAAATATTTTTATTATCAAAGTGCCTATTTCGAACGTCGAAGGCTAATATCTCGATTTTGGCGGCTAACTTCGAAAGACGGAGAAATAACTTTTTATACTTACGACTCAGTCTCTCTAAAAAAAAATTGGTTTGATCCAATACCCAGAAATAAAATTGATTTTGCCGTATAGTGTTATTAATGAGTTTTATTTTTCGCTCCAAAAAAATATTATCAAATTTTTTCTGTTGTTTTCAGTTAAATCCATTTGAATTGTTCTCGGCGTTTCGAAACTTTAAATGCAATAATTATACATGCATACATATGTATGTATGTGCTTGTATGTGCAAATATGTGTACGTGTGTATGTATGTTTGTATGTGAGCATCACCTCCTCAGCTATCGTATGCACTGCAAATAACTGCTTTCGGCAACACAAAAGCCAGGTGAAATATCACACAAATCGCGTGTGTACACCAATCAAAGCCTAAAATTATGGTATAATTCAATAAATCGAACAATCAAAGCAAATTTGTTACATAAAAGCAAAATGCTGTCGAAATGCAAAGCTACAATTTGTGGCAGACATGCATGCCACATTTGACCTTAACCAAAATTAAGCAAACACATATACATACACTCATAAATATGTATGTATGCATGGGTTATTTTTGCTAAGCATAGCATATCAAAAGGCGCTGACTTCAAAGCAAACATATATACATACATTTATACATATATATATATATAACGATTGTGGCGCGTGCACCTGCCTATAGCGAGTGTGAATGCGGTAGAGAGAGTAGTTAAGTGTAGTTTGTTGCGCGTGTTACCACGAAACGCTTCTAGCTTTTCAACGAAATTAACTACACAAACACGCTTAAATGCAAATACACACCCACACACACACACACACACACACACACACACACACACACACGTGTTTGTAAAACTACCAGCTTCGAGCGCCTGTCAATATGCAAACCTAAAATTATTAACGCAGCGAAGCGATCGTAAAATTTTACATGCCATGCGGCGGCTAATACGAGATTTATGCGCTGCGCCTGTGTGTATGCAATCATTAATTTTATATTCATCTACCTGCATACATACGTGTGCACACAAATGCAATGCACATGTAGTTGAACGTGTGTATGGATTTGTGTAAATAAATAGGTATGTAATTAGGCGCACTCCGCTGACAATTTGCTGCAAGTGCGTGCCTTAAATAATGCGCTTATGCGTATAAATGGCGCCTAATATTATGTGTCGCGTCGCGTGGTGATTGAAGCTGCCTCGGAAATGTATGACGGCGCGATTTGTCTAGGTCATATGTGGCGCTCGATGGAGAAATAAATCAATTTAAGCGAAATAGAATTTCTAAAAAAATGTGTGAAGCTAGTGCAAGTATGCAGATGCGTAATGGGGTAGGCTTTCGCTCGATTGCGTTATAAATGCCAAACTTTAAACTGACTTGAAGGGAAATGTCTGTCTTGGTTTCACAACCACATACGAGTGACCCATATTTTGTAAAACTAAGGGAGCTGTTGCTCGAAAAAATTCAGGAGCAAAGAACCGAAAATTTTATTACTAGATAAAGTTTTGTGCTGTCTTTTAAAGGGCATTAAAGGAGAGACAATAAGTACGTTTATGCAGATACAAATGTACGGCTATTAGGGTGCATTAGATACTTTCCAAACAATAAAAAAAAAATATTGGTACCAATTTTCGGGGCCAACGAATTTTTTCCATCAAAACTATAAAATTTATTTTATTTTAAGATTTCTGCCAAAATATTTTGGAAAAATATTAAGATTTACTTGAGCTGGAGCTTGTTGAAAATATCTCAAAAAATCCAGGTTTTTTAAATCAAATTAATTTTTAAAAATATTTTTTTCTAGTAAATAAAGTCAGATGATAAAAGAGCTTAAGATTAAAAATTTGCATAAAAATATTAAAACAAAAAAAATTCAACGGAATCAAAGTAATTCGAGTTTTTGAGGCATGTATTTTTAAATCGGTCTAGCTCACGAAAATTATTAATATGTTTCCGAAGTTTCCGAAGATTTACGGCGGAAAAATCGTTTCAACTAGAGTTCGATCAATTGTCTGGTTACAGCATTGGTTTTTCGATTAATCGGCAATACTTTCATATTCGGCTGAATGCTCAGCTGTAAATTTAAAGGTGTACATTTATGGTGAATAATCTGTTAAAAAGAAAAGTGGTATTGCAAAATCAGCTGACTTTCGATGGAGAACTTCGGAATTTGAAGTTGTAATTAACGAATATATATAAAAGAGTTCTTAGAGGTGCTGGTATTCTGCAATATTGGAATATTAGCTCCATTAGAGGTGCGTATTACCACTCCGTAGGACATGCGTTCGACCGCCGCGGTCTCCCCTCGACAGGCAATGGCAAACCTGCGATTGTATTTTTGCCATGAAAAAGCTTATGAAATCCAGGTCTCTCCACTTGTGTTACAACCAAGGCTTCGGAGCGAAACGGGAAAAAAGGAGCAAGGAGCTAAGGAGCAAGTTATTTTGGCTGCAGCGAAGCTGGAGCAAAGAGCTAGAGAAATTCATTTGTTCCTTAGCTCCTTAGAGAAAATTAAATTTAGTTATTTTCGCTGATGGTGTCACGCTTTTTTCCCATACAAGAGTGCTCGATAATTTTTTTTTATATATGTAAAAGAAAATACCTAGCATCGTCAACAAAAAAATTGTCAAAAATCAACGGTATTTTCGAACCACTAATTTTTCTAAAAATTCTGTC